TCATACGCGTTGGAAATACACCCTGTTTTAGAGACAGATTTATAATATAACATAATGGTTCTAAGATGTATTCAGCGCATTGTTTCAAAACTTTTACATTTAATTCGTCATAACCTGTTGAGTTTGTATTATTTAAAGATTTAAGTGTTTTATAGATGTCCCTAGGATGAGTTGGCATGAGATACATACTATTGTTATTGAACAAAATATTTTTATAATTTAAATATTGATTTGTATTATGTTTATTTGTAAGGTTAATAAAGTACTTATTGAAAGTTTCAGCAATTTCCTCTGGTTTCATTCGCAGGTTGTTATTATCTCTAATTTTTTCAATATGACCAACATCTTTCTTGTTAGTGGCTTTGATTTTAATCAGGTCCCAAGTTGCCTTACATCTGTTTTTAGACCGATAAATATATTTAGTGTTAAAATTTTCTTGCGCTTCCGAAATACATCTCTTTAGTATTTTACTATATTTTATGTATTCACGTCTATTATTTTTCTTGTCGTGAGTAGATAATCTATATTTAAGATAGAGACATCTTTTTACTATGCAGCACCTTTTGAGTCCTTTAGTTATCCACTTATTTTTTGTTACCTTGTTTACTTTTTTAATAGTGATAACGGGGAAAGCAAAGTTTATAAAAAAGTACTAACATGTCATGAAGTTTTTCAAATGCAGCATTGGTATCAGTTTCAGAAAAAACCTCACTAAACGACAACGATGAGATACATTCTCGAAACTTATCAATATTATTAGTATTTAAGTCACGTCGTGTTTCAAACCAGTGTAATGGAGCCATTTTCTCTGGGTTATAACAGATATCAAACGAAACACTTTGAGCTGTTTCATGATCGGATAAAGCTAAACAATGTATCTGAGGTTTTACATTTTCTATGTTGCTAACAATTAAGTCTATACATGATGAATTTCTTGTTGGTTTATTAATGTGATTTGATAAATTATGACACGTCAATATAGACAATAATTTTTTTGCGTTTTTAGTCTTTTTAAGGATGTCTATGTTCCAATCACCGCACAGCAAAATTTTCTTGTTTTTAAGTTTATGAAGTAATAATGATAGATTACCGAAAAACTGATCTACGTTTGATGTTGGTGTTCTGTATATGCATATCACGATTATATCCACTGACAGTATTTTCACGGCGCAGTATTCAAAAAAATATGGCATCGGTGGTATAAGGTTATTCAGTAACTCGCATTGTAAATGTTTTTTGACTAAAATACACGAACCTCCTCTGCGTTCATTACTTCTGGAAAAATGTGATAAGAGATTGTAATTTTTTAATTTTACGTTTGACTCGGAGCCATTCCTTACAAATGTCTCTGTAATACATATGATATCAATGTCATAATTTTCTGAATTCATTTCGTTTAGGGCTAGTTCCAATATGTCCAGTTTTTTTAATAAGCCTGCAATATTTTGATGAAGTAGTTTAATTGTATATTGTGTACGTAAATTATTCACGAAAAAAGTTTTTATTTGTGTTCTTAGGCTTGTAACTGCAGGGTAAAGACATTTTGGATCTATTCTGTATATCCCCGTTATTAAAATAAGATAACGTATTGGTATTTTTAACATTTGTATGGCATCTACATATATTATATTTTAGGTTTTTTATATATTCTAAATTGTAGTTTAAGTAGTCAATTTCTATATTGATTTTAAATAAGATATGTTTAATTCGTAAAAAAGTATTACCTTTGTGCCTATATTGGGTATAATTATAAGTGATAAAATTATTTAAATTTATAAAGGTACAATGAGTATAGTTTTGAGTAAAAAGCTGGATGCCCTCATTAAGCGTTTTTAAATTTAAATAGGGATTAAATTGTACACTAAGAATAAATACATGATTGTTTTTCAGTTTGTAAAGGGCGTTGCACAATTCCGAGTATAGAACGTAAGGATTCTTATCATGTGCACCCAGACCTATAATAACAATATCATCCTTGTTAAGTGTAGATATAATATTATCACAGCTGTTTAAAATTTGTGAACTTGTTGCGTTAGGTTTAACGATCCCCGTAACAGAATAGATATCGTTCCACCTGTTTGTTCTCGACTTAATCATTTCTGGAGCTAGTTTTTTGTACTTGTTCATCTCCTAATATAATAATTTTGGATGATTTTGTGTTGCTATTAGTAACGCCATCTTTTGCCCGATTTTGACAATTATTGCATACTGAATTCACAGTCGGCTTACTTTGAGCAACCGTGGGTATTTTTATGCCTTGTTTTACGATTTGTAGTACAGGCGGGCACTGGACTTTTCTACGGGGTGTTGAGGAACAATGATTTTTGAAATTTTTATATATATTCAGAAATGGTCTCATAATGGGCGGTTATAATGATGATGTTGATGATGATGAACTGTTTAACTTTAATTAGGGTGAGTATAGTATTTTTAGGTTATAACCCCTTCTTATGTTGCTTAGACCTTTTTTTAACATGCCTATGCATACTCGCCTCATGGGGGCAAGGATGGGTTATGTCGGACTCGGACCACCTAAAACCTCATGGTGTTCTGCCTTCGTCGCATATTGGCACATTAGCACATGCTACTCTAAAATGTTTGTTTGTATGTCTGTCTGTATACCCAGGCTAATCGTTTGAATGGTTGAAACGGTCGTAATTTAACTTCACTATAATATTAAGTGCAATGTCAGGAGAGATCTAGGATATATTTTATCAAAAAACTTGGAGAGTGTAAAAAAATTCAATTGAATTGTCTTATAGTATCAATATAAGACTATTTAATTGAAATTTGAGTGCTGTGTTATGGCGGTTAAGAATATCTACTACCCCATATAATCCCGTGGGTGCCGTAAAAGGCAACAGAGGGAAAAAGGCAGGAGATGGGCAGCGGCATCTTCCTGATAACAGCAACTGTAAAAAAACTGCGGTTGCCATCCCGCTCGCCAAGCGTGGCAACTATGGCAATATACTCCCCATGATAGTTACGAAGAAACGGCCCCCAGTCCCCGGCGGCCTCGCTGTTCCCGGCTACGGTGGCGACCATGGTAACGGCGGGGCAGGGGGTGCTAAGAATCTGGTGGAGGTTCGGTTGCCACCTATGATGACTCGACCTGGCAACATATAACGCACGCACCATGCGCGATGCATGCAGCTCCGATATCACTCTATCACGTAACGATCCAGGGATAACTATTTTGTGACGCATAAGGCAACCATTTTCGGCATCCATAAAGGTGTCGGACAGGGCTGTGTAGCTTCCCCGTGGCTGTTCAATCTATTTATGGACAGCTGTTTGGAAAATTTGAAAGTTGAAGAATGCGGGTTAGGAATGGATGGGTTAACCATCAAATGCCTTTTGTACGCCGATGATCAAGTCATAGTTGCGTCGTCGGCGGCCGAGTGTGAAATAAATGATGGTTACATTAATGAACAAGTCATTAAAAGAAAGGGGAATGAAATTGAACGCAACTAAGACGAAAGTGATGGTTTTTGAAGAAGATGAAAGCAAAACGGTATGTGAAATAAGAATAGAAGGAGAGTTAATTGAGCAAATGGATGAGTTCGTATATTTGGGATGTGTATTCAGCAGGGATGGGAGATGTGATAAGAATATTGAACGACGAGTGAATGCAGGAAATAAAGTAAATGGGGCTCTGCACTCTATTGTGAAAAGTTAGAATGTCAAAAAAAGGCACGTATGGCAATTCACAGTGCTGTATTGGTCCCTACTTTAACGTATGGTAGTGAAATTTGGGTGTGGCAGAAGAAGCACGAGAGTAGAATAAAAGCAGTAGAAATGCGGTCGCTAAGGAGTATGTTAGGCCTGAATCTGAGTAACAGGGTGAGAAACTGTGTGATAAAAGAAGAGTGTGGTTTGCAAGATGATGCGGTGATCAGGATTAAGAAAGGAATGCTTCGGTGGTTTGGTCATGTAGAAAGAATGAATGCGGAAAGACTGACAAAGCAAATATATGTTGCAGAAGTGAATGGAAGACTGGAAAGGGACGTCCTAGGTGGAAGTTTGTCGACCAAATTGGCGATATACTAAAAATGGGCCAAATTAAGAGTATCCTTAACCGACGAGCATGTATGCGTAGGTATATGGATGTGGAAGAGGCGAGAAAGGTATGTCAGGATCGTGTTAAATGGAAGTCTGTAGTCTCTGCCTACCCCTCTGGGTGACAGGCGTGAGTGTTTATGTATGTATCTTACTCGAAATAAAGCGAATAAAAAAAACCTACTTAATTAATCCTTTGTAATCATAAAAAAGTTTATGGTTATGGCAAGGTAATGTTAAAGTAAGCAAATAAATTGTACTTAAGTAAGTTTTTTATTCATATGAGATTAAAAAAATATCACTTTTATTAAAAACTTATCCTTTAAAGGGAAAATTGCCTTAAATACGGTCTCTTAACACTTGCATCCAGATGAGAATTACTTGATGTGTGCTTTTTGCATGATATCCCTCACAATAACATTAATGGCCCCCATCTTCTCTCTAGTATCAGGTTATGCACTCCTAAGTACCGTACGAGAAAGACCCCAGTTTTCAGTGTACCTAAACACTGTAACAAATACGGTATGAATGCTGTCATGTCTTGTCTACCCAAAATTTATTATAGTAAATATAGTAACGTTGATATTTTCAATATATAACTTTCAACGCCAACTTATCTTGAAGCTGTCGGAGGTTAAAAAGCCGTAACCGTCACATAACGTACATTTACTCTTTATTAACTCATATGTTTTATCTAAATTCTGTAAAGTGTCCATCTGAAAAGCATGTTGTTAGTATAGTTATAATAAAATTTTGAGATACATACATAAAATAACATGTTACATCTTATGTATAATAATAATATAAAATATATATAATTTTATTCAGCGAGTGCTATTTTAATTTAATTATTTTATTAATTTTATTTATAAAATAGCTGCTAATCTAAAACACAAATATAGACAAAAACAATATCTATATGTAAACCACACAACTGGCAGGATCGCCCGCGCGGCAAGAAGTTGGTGGGCGCGGAGGGATTTTAGGGAGTTTCGGGGTGAAGTGCGGGGGCGCGCAGCAGGGAGTTCCAGTGACATTTTTTAGTGCGCTCGCGGCTTTCGCAGCGGGAAGTGGGTTAATTGGTTACGGACACTCGGAACAAAACGCACACGAGATTATAACCCAAGATGAATGCTGAAGATGGACGCTCTAAGATTTTGGCCAAGCAAATTAACATACAAGCGAAACAATTGGTGTACAATGTATCTCTCTCTCTCTCTAGTCGGTCCCTCATGACTGAGGATCGTGATCACCATCACGGAGAGTAAATTTATTGTTTATAATCTCTCTCCACCGGGTCCTATCGCTGGCCATACGGAGAGCGTCGTAGAAATTTCGCGCACCGACTTCTTTGACTTGGTCGGACCACCGGGTTGGAAATCTACCTCTGGGCCTTCTTCCCTCTACGTTTCCAACAACTATCAATTTTTCGATACTTTCGTCCCCGCGGCGAGAGATATGACCAAAATAGCTGAGGATGCGCTGAAGACATGTGGTGGAAAGACGCGTCTTGATCTTGAGTTGCGATAGGATTGACACGTTTGTGCGCTTCGCAGTCCACGGTATTCGCAGCATTCGCCGCCAGCACCACATTTCGAACGCATCAATTCTCTCCCTTTCTCTGACGCGTATAGTCCATGTTTCCACTCCATAGAGAAAAATTGGGAATATAAGAGTATATACTAGGCGTAATTTAGTATTATTTGTTATGCTTCTGTTTCTCCAGATGTTTGTCAGCCTGGTCATCGCATCCTTAGCTATTGCTATTCTACGCTTAATTTCGGGAACGCAAGTACCCTCATTTGAGATCAGAGATCCCAGGTATATATAACTCTCCACAACGTCGATCCCTTGAATGCTGCAAGTGTTGGAAAGTTTGCTAGCCCGGTCTATAACCATGAGTTTCGTTTTATTCCTGTTGATTGACAGACCTAGCTCTTCGCTTTCTAATTCTAGCTTATGCAGCAGCTCCTCCATGTCCTCATAAGATGTTGCAAAAAGCACAGTGTCGTCCGCATATCGCAAGTTAGCCACCCTTTTACCCCCAATATGAAACCCTTTATCCCATCCTTCCATGGTTTTCCGCATGATGTATTCCCCATATATATTAAAGAGCAACGGAGACAGTATACAACCTTGTCTCACGCCTTTCGTAGTCATAAACTCTTTGGAAAGACTGCCATCGAGTCTCACATAAGATCGGTTGTTATCATACAGGTTGGCAATTAGGCTGACTAGGTGTGTTGGTACTCCCATTTCGACCAATATTGACCATAGTTTATCCCAACGGACGCAGTCAAATGCCTTACTGTAATCGATGAAGCACAGTAACACTGGATTGGCAAACTCGCGACTCTTTTCAATAATCTGCCTGATATTTAAAATTTGTTCTCTTGTGCCCTTGCCCTTTACGAAACCAGCTTGCTCGTTGGGAATCTGCCTGTTTAGGAAATTCTTAAGACGTTGATTTATTATATACAGCATGACTTTGCTGGCGTGCGAAATTAAGGAGATTGTCCTGTAGTTTGTACAATTACTTTTGGAACCTTTCTTATGCAAGGGCACAAAAACAGATTCAGTCCATTCTCTAGGCCATACGCCTGTATTCCAAATCGAGTTGCAGATGTTTACTATAATTTTCCGGCCTATTGGACCCATGGCTTTTAAAAGTTCTGCTGGAATGCTATCTTTACCAGGTGATTTGTTCGTTTTTAATGCCTTTATTGCTTGTTCTACTTCGGCGTCTAAAATACTAGGTTCCGGGTCATTCATAGTATTCCAATTATTGTTAACACGAGCAGGTGTGTCCTGTGTACAGTAAAGTTCGGCACAGTATTGTCTCCAGCGTTCCAACACTGTATCTAAGTCGCTAAGTAGGTTTCCGTTTTTGTCTTCTATGGCCCATGTTTGAACGATCTTGCTCTTGCTTAGTTCGCGCACTCTTTTAAAAAGTTCGTGGGTTTCCTTCTTTTCGGCGTGCCGTTCGAGTTCGCAGCAGATATTGTTGATGTAATCATTGGTGTCTTTTCGGCACCGCCTCTGTATCTCCTGACTCAATTCTGCGTAGCGTTTATGATCTTCTTCTGAAACGAAACCCTTTTCCTTAAGCATGCGCCTTTCCAATATTATTTTAGATGTCTCCATCCTAAAATGACCTTTCATGGTTGCTGCTGCGTGAATTTTATTTTTATTCGCTTGCTCTATAATTGAATCTCTTAACTCTTCCCACGATACTTTGCAGTCGTCTTTGTTGGTACTCTGTGCTGTCATCGCCGTAAGTGAGTTCTCCAACCCAGATCTAAAGTCGCTAATGTTAACCGTTTTAAAATTCTGCATAGACTTCTGTTTGTTAAGTTTCTTTAGTCTAAGTTTAAATGTACACATGAGAAGCTGGTGGTCGCTTCCGCAGTCTGCTCCTGGGTAGGTCTTGGAGTTAAGTATAGAGGATCTCCATCGTGACTGAATCATAATGTAGTCTATCTGGTTTCGAAAACGATCGCCGGGAGATATCCAGGTGTATAGTCGTCTAATATGCTGGCGAAAGCAGGTGTTCATCAGAGTGAGGTTTTCTTCGCTACAGAACTGTAACAATCTATCCCCTCTCTCGTTACGTTCTCCTATTCCAAATAGACCAACGTGCCGTCTTAAATGGTTATCATCTAATGTGACACCGACCTCTGCGTTGAGGTCACCTACAATCATAGTAATTTCTCGTTTTGGTATTGTTTTTATAGTTGCGGACAGATGACCATAGAAAGCCTCCATATCTTCTTCAGTACTTTGAGCTGTAGGGGCATAAACTTGGATGATGTTTAGTTTGCATGGTTTGGCGTTTAGCTTAAGAGTGAGTATTCTCTCGTTAATAGCTTTATATCCGAGAACACATTTGTTAATTAGTGGTGGAACGATGAATGCGACTCCTCGGTTGCTTTCATTTTCAGGTCCAGAGAAGTATACTGTATTACCCAAGTCAGATGTAAAATAGCCAGAGCCTCTCCGGTGAGTTTCACTCAAACCAAGTATGTCAATTTTCTTTCTTTGCATTTCTGTTTCTATAATGCTTAGTTTCCCGTCTTGAATGAGGCCGCGAACGTTCCAAGTCCCGATGGAGTATATTTGCTTAGCTATGGGTGTTGAAGCTGTAGATGCACCAGAATAGTGAATTCCTTGCGGCGTCGCCTGGTGAGTCGCGATGGCAAGGCCGGTAGCACATTTCACACCACATTGCCCGGAGAGGTGGCGCCGGGTGTTGGCCGGGTCGCATGACAAAACTTTACTCTTTTTCTGTGTGTCCATAGGTGATTTTCTTGGGAGATTAGTGCAGTGGTTTCCCATTGCCTTCTGCACCAGTCTTTTAGGGGGTATTTGGACCCCAAGGCCTCTGAAGCCTCTTCCAGTTAGTTGCCAAACTGGGCGTATGGATATCCCGCCATTGTTCGGTCGCCATAGCCTCGTCAGTTTTCTAGCAGGGGGCACCACGACGTTTGGTCGTCGTCAGCTATTCGTATGAATCACTGGCGCGTGCAGGTGAGGTTGGCATTTGGGTCGGTTAAGATGTTGAACACCGTTCTCCCCTTACCCCCCCAATACAATGTACATTCTTTCTTTAAACTAAGAAAACAAGATCAATCGTCTACGGAATATCAACAAGACGTAAACTGGAATAAATTGGTTGCGCAAACAACAGGAATATCTTTAACATCTGTGAGTAAAATTGTCAAAGAAGGAAATGATCTAAAACGCGAACAAAATAGCGTGGTTTTTAAATCCCCCAAAAAAATAAAATAGGTACGAAATAAAAATATTGAAATAAATAATTTTACTGAAGGAGTAGTCAGACGAAAAGTAACTCAATTTTACACTATTTACAAGAGGGTTCCCACATTAAAAACATTAAATGCTAAACTTAAAGAAGAAGGAATTTTAAATTGCGGTCGAGAATATTTGAGACTATTACTGTACAAACTTGGCTTTAAATTTAAAAAATGTCAGTCGAAGAGAAAGCTGCTTATTGAACAACCAAACATTGTTTCTTGACGATGGAAATATCTGAATGCGATACAAAAACATTGAAGAGACAAGAGATCTATGGTTTACCTCGATGAAACATATGTCAATTCCTTCTTAAATTTCCGTCTTGCTGGCAATCAAAAGAAGAACGTGGAGTGCTAGCTCATATTGCAAAGAACCGAGATTAATTATTGTACATGCAGGCCAGGCTGGATTTGTTGACGGAGCTCTTTTAATTTTTAAATCAAAAACTAAAACCGGGGATTCTCATTCGGATATGAATTTTGTAAATTTCAATAAATAGACAAAAGAAAAATTATTGCCAAATTTACCTCCAAGATCTGTAATTGTTATGGATAACGCTGCGTATCATTCAGTCCAGGAAGACAAAAAATCAATGATGACAAATACAAAAGCTTCGATGCAGGCTGCGCTGCAAAGTCATAATGTGGAATTTGACAGTTCCTTGAGAAAATGTGACCTGCTGAAGTTGATCAAACAACATGGATCTGAAAATGTTTACAAGATTGATGAACGTGCTAAAAGCTGCAGGCCACGAAGTATTAAGACTTCCGCCGTATCACCTAAACTTGAACCCCATAGAGCTGGTTTGGGGGGATATCAAGGACAACTTTCGAGGAACAAACTTGACAGTAATTTAGATAAGAAGAAAACTGCACTAGAGAAATTATTTAGTGAATTTCCAGTAGAAAAATGGGTAGCATGTGACACACATGTCCAGAAAATTGAAGATGAGTACTGTCAACACGATCGAATACTTGACGTCGCTATGGGCGAAATGATAATTAATTTACAAGATAATTCTGACTCGTCCAGTTGCACTAATAGCGAAGACGGTATGAATATTGATATTAGCGAGGAGGAAAATATATAATAATTATTAAAATAAAATTATAAAAAATGGTTAAGTACTGCTTTTCCAAAGTGTTTTGCTTAAAATTTAATAAATATTTCTGATATAAATCATTGTCTTATTTATATTCGTATACATAATAAAAAAATACGTTACAGTAAAATAAAATTAACATGCTACAAAAGCATTGATCTAGCAAAGTTTACTTTTATTTACATTATCCTTTATTTGCAATCGGCGAATATTATCCCCGG